CCCCCCCCCCCCCGCTCCCACGAGATGCGACAAGCTGGCTACCTTGGAGACGGCCAGATGACTCTGTACACCAGATTACCACGCATCAAGGGGGAAAATAAAAAGCAACCATTTCGTGCGTGAAAATCGGGTTCGCAGGACCACCGGAGTCGGTGGTGGCCCGGTGGTGTGAGAAACGATTGCTTACCATGATGTTTAGTGTTCTTGAGGAACGTGGGAACGTCAAGTCCATCATTCCTGTTTCTTTTTTTTTCGTCTGTGCCGATGTCGTAGTCCCACTCTCTTTGCCTCAGCGTCACTGGAAGCAGCCATTATTTCCTCTTTTTTGTGTCCAGGTGGCGTCCTTGTGAGACGTGCCGTGTTTGCTACGGGCTCACTTCCTCTTCGCCCCTCCCCTCCCATCTGTTCCTCCCTCACCCACCCCACCCCACATGTTTGCGCCTGCCCCCCNCCCCCCCCCCCCCCCCCCGCCCAGAAAGTCCCCGAGCTGGTGGTGGCCGAAATCGTCCGTCTGGGACTCAGGGCCGACCGTGAGCGGGGAGACCCCTCGCTCGGCATGGGCCTCACCCTGCACGACGCCAAGGCTCTGAGGCAGGCGGCAGCGAGGCGGGTGAACCTCACCTCTTCTTCCTCTTCCACCAGTGGTCCCGGTGGCGGTGGCGGTGGCGGTGGCACCTCCGCGGAGGAGGCCCTCTACGCTCGCGTGCAGGCCGAGGTCGTGAAGGATGACAAGGTGAGGGGGCGAAGAGTGTTAGGATTCCGGAGCGGTGTGTGGTTGCGTGTGTGTGTGTGTGGTTGTGGCCCTGTAGGTATGCCTCCACGCTTGGGGCGGGCGGGGGGTAGGTGTTGGTACTTTGCATGCCTTAGCTGCTTGACCATTGACCACGCGTCCTCAGGAGGACAGAGTTTTGTTCCCACGGAACCGATCACCGATGGCCAATCGTTCTTGCCTACTGGAGGATCTTAGGGTTTCGGAGCGGTGCTTGTGTGTATGTGATGTGGCCTTGTAGACATAAATACCACCACGCTTTTGGGACTGTCGGGTGGGTTAGGGAGTGTTAGGGGGTGCTTGCTGGTTGTCTCAACGCGGATGGGGGGGGGGGGGGGGG